CCAGAGAGGCGGTCTGATCAACGTGTACAAGTATCTGAAGGGAGGGTGTCAAGAGGAGGGGGCCAGGCTCTTCTCAGCGGTGCCCAGTGACAGGACAAGAGGCAACGGGCAGAAACTGAAACACAGGAGATGACTGCATCTGAACGTGAGGAAAAACTTATTTACTATGAGAGTGGAGGGTGACTGAGCACTGGACCAGGTTGCCCAGAGAGGCTGTGGAGTCTCCTTCCCTGGAGATACTCAAAACCTGCATGGACATGATCCTGTGCAATGTGCTCTAGAGGACCCTGCTTGAGCAGGGGGGTTGGACTAGATGATCTCCAGAGGTCCCTTCCTACCTTGGCCATTCTGAGCTTGAAAGTATAAGAAAATTGCCTACTGGCATTAATAATAATAATAATAAAAAAACTCTAAGTAAATGTACTTTACCTCTGCAGATATGTCTAGGCTAATTCAAACTTGCTTCACTTTAGATTACATCACTGCTTTTGAGCATGTAATCGCTTGTAAAAAAGTGATATAATCGCCTTCTTTGCTTCTTTTACTGAAATGGGTATGTTTTAGTGGTGTAAGAGACAGAAAATATGACTACCTTCTCCTTTTGAAGTTCTTCCTCTCCTTATATCCCCTGTAGTGAGACTGAATTGTTGTTGCTGCTTTGTTCCTCGACTCAGTTAGCTCTTTTCTCTTCTTCCTGAGTAAGTAGCCTCTGGCAACTGACACAAATCAGAAAAGAACCTTTGGCAACAAGCAAAGCACATCCCAAACGTTTCTTAGAGTTAAATAATAACAGTATTAAATTGTTACTATGAGGAAGGGAAAAAAAAACAGTAACAACAAAAAACCCACAACACCCCAACAGTAAAAAGGAGAAATAAGGAAATACGGACTGGAGTGGTTATTATGTTTCAGTTGAAGTTATTCTGTCCCACAAAACCTTTTTGAGATTTTTAGAACGCTGTAGCCATTCTACATTGGGATACAAATAAGATCTTTCTTAGTATCTTTTTGAACCAAAGAAAATAAAGGAAGATGCAGAACGAGGCAGAAGCACAGTGCTATGGGAGTGCTTCTAGAGCAATGTGCTCCCAGCTTCATGTACCTCCTTTGCCTGATTCAGATAACGGATTTGATTTAAGGTCTTTCACTTCCCTAGGAAATGTCCTGATTATCAGGCTCTTATTACATAAGCCCAGAACTTTATTTCTCTAGCTGAACATTCACTGGATCAGATAAAAACTGAAAATTATATAGCTCAGCACTTAAAGTCGATCTTGCTCACGCTCCTTCTGCAATGACTGCTTATTTAAAATGAAAAAGTCCAGCATGAAAGATGTATAGGGTGGGGGGGAGAGGGAGGCAAAACGTTACTGCCCCATAGTAACCAGGTACCCTGTGGCAAGGTGGGAGGCACAACTTCAAGTCCTGGTCTGAACCAGGAATAGTGAAGACTTGAACCTGGGTCTCCCACTAGACATGTAGGTGCCTTCAGCATTATGCTAGCTGACAGTTTAAGGAGTTGGATTCAGCTTCAGATTAATATAATTAAAGTTAGGCATGTACATGAAGGCGTTTACACTTGTGCTAGGTCTCCAGGCTTCCGTTAGAGTCCACAGAACCTAGAGATGGCTTGGCTGACTGGCCGCTTGATTCGGTTGTCCATACATGGGTATCTAGTGCCATCGGAAGTGCTCTAGGATAGCCAAGGCATCCACACGGAGCTGGCAGATAGGACAAGACACAGAGAGAGAACAGTTGGCATCTCATATGGGGACATATGAGGTCAGACAGGATAACCTAGGAAATCTCAGAGGGCACTAGATACCAATATGTGAGCAAATGAACTGAGCATTAGGTGCTTTACAGTGAAATGAATCAAGCTCCCCGCTCTGCTGACTGTAAGAGGAGTTTAGGCACCTAGATACTTTTAGACAACTGCACTGAGGCGTCTTAATCAGAAACTTAATCCCATTCAGAGTTGTTCCAGGAATTCTCGAACTTGCACATCTTTTCCTGATAGCAATGGGCATACTTTCACAGTGTTGTGATTTAGGCAAGTCTGCAATTTCAGGGATTCGGCACAATTCCTCTAATCCCTGCCTACAAAGAAGAATATAGTGTTTTGTCAAAATATTTCTGTGGAACTCTAATTTCAAATGTGCTAGCAAGGCTATGGAATAGAGGATAAGGTGATTTATCTATCCTGAAGAGAAGGTACAGATGGGAACTCTTACTCCAGGTCTGCTGGGTGTGCTTTACATCATGGGAAAAGGTCAAGCTCACCTATGAATGGGAAAGGAACAGAGGCAGTCTTCTCTAACACATTCATATAACTTGGTGTTAGGTGTTTTTTTGTTTTTCTGCTGTTGCACTCCTTACCCATAATTTGTACCATAATTTACACCAACTTGGCCTCCATTAGATGCAGTGGATCAGTGTAAGAAGCGCTTTGTAAAAGGGACAGAAATTACATATTGATAATTGGATGTAAGGTAAAGAAACCCACATACCACTTATTTGGAGCAATATAGAGCTGGGTTTTATACTGCAGTCTGACAGGGCCTCAGAAAAGTGTGAAAAATGAAGCAGTGTGGAACGAGAATCCTTCCAGAGTTTCTTGGACTTCCTGAGCTAATTCTCATTCCATTTCCATACCAAATCAACTCAACAGGAGTTATTTTGAAATAAATCAAGTCATGTGTCAATGGACATCTCACCTTTTTAAACTTATTTAGGTTCACCTCTGAAGTTTGCTGAGATCTGTTACGAGATAGTAGCTGTTTAAGGGTAGTTTTCAAACTGGAAGAGTTTTGAATTGTTTTTTGAAATAAGTGCTGAAAAACACCTGTGAGAGCTAAGTGAAAATAATTTTCCCCTTTTTTGCCCTCTCTTGCACTGAAAAAAAATTGAAATGAAACTACAATAGAACAAACATTGGGGAGATAACAAACACAGCAAAGTGATAAATTCATACTTTTGCGTTTGCTAAATATCTAATATAATTGAGGCGTTTCAGAATTATTTTTGATACCTTTCTAGATTTTATTCTGGTTTTAGATTGGATTTTACACTGGTAAAGTTCTTCTGACTGCAGTGAAGTGCTCTTCAGTACACACTAAAATTGACTTAGAGCAGGTAACAGATACACTTGACAATGATTAAAACCAACACTAGTGTGTCTATACCTCCCCATGTAGATGTATCTGTGATAGCTTAAATCTAGGTAGCCTGGGTAGTGGCAACACCAGCTAGTATTTGGGTAGCCACCCTTGTAATTACTGAAAGTGCCATGCACGTTTGTGCCAACTGTTTTTAGGCTGGTTCCTCTCTAGTACTGCCGCTGATTTCAGAGCTAGACTAGACCTGGTTCTGGGACCTATCTCTACAGGGAAATGGGAGACAGAAACATAGTCAGGAAAAGTGGATGTTATACAGCGTTATGTCGGAGCCCAAGGTGTTTATTGCAACAGAAGAGAAAGAATATTTTGCTAGGTGGCATTGAATGAATCAGAATGAATCAGCAAAAAAGAATCAGAGAAGTGAGTGTATTTAGAGGTTATAATCTTCTTAAATGTAACAGCCATTACTGATATGTAACAAACATATCCCTAATGGAACAGCATGCACACACAGATAGCATCACATGGGACTTCTGCAGGGCCAGCTAGAGTATTTAGACATACCAGACTAGGAGTGAAAAGTCTTGCTATGGCATTATCCTAGCCCACTTCACAGCTGTGGAAAGCACCTATACCTCTTTGAGGCATTGGTATTAGGTAATGGAGTATATTGACCCGCTTCTACCACTGCATGTAAATACGTAATAGATAAATTCTACTTCAGAAGGTGTAAATGGGCATACTCTATCAGTGCAGCAAGTTACTAACAAAGAATCTGCGTCAACGTATTCTGTATAGACAGTGCATAGGAAAAGCTAGGAAAGTAAACTGTTCTTACTTGCTTGAAGTCTAGTAATACATTTTTCCATTTTTTGATTACTTTTTGCATTTGTGTATTCTTTACGAGCAACAAAACCCCTGTAAGCTGAAAAAAGGTAGGAAGAATTAAATACTCCATTAGGTTATACAAAAGGCTATAAGAATAAAAAGGTTCTGGAAGGAAATACAGACCTCCATTAAAATACTCATAAAAAAATTTCTGGGCTTTGCCTTTCAAAAGATATGGCAAACAAGTGCAAGAAATATGAAAATAAGTAAAAACTACATTTTCTGAGTAAAGTTGTTATTAAATGAATACAAAATGAGAGAATCAAAATGTGCAATAAGACGATGCTTGAAACATAAAAAATTTCAATTAATCACGTCTCCATCAACAGCATAATTGGTCTTATTATCTAGGACAGTTAATACATTATGTTTTCGTTGTTATATTATACAACCTTGTCAGAGCATGCCAGATATTATTAACAACAGTATAATTTAGGCAATCACATCTCTTCATTGTTAACATTGCCTTTTAAATGTAAAATTGATAAACAACTTCAGTAAAGAGATTGTCATAACCTGGTCAACAGAAATTTCTCTTCATAAGAACAGATATCATCAAACAAGATGCTCTGTCAAATGTAACAGCAGGAGAACAGCAATATGCACATGCAGCATGCACATCCACCTATCAACTGTACAAACTGTACAAACATGCTAGCTTTAAGCAAAAATGTTTAAGCTATTACCTGACTGTATTTTAATAGCACTTTGTTCCCTTTGTTCCTTTAGCTTTTTGTATCTCTTTGAACCCAGCCACCCTCTGACATAAGCTTGAATCAAAATAATCATGTCAACTGTCTCCTTTCGCATTAAATTCAGCTGCTCCACGTGATAGTATTTGAGGAATACCTTAAAAAGAGTAAGCAAACAAGCAGTGGTTTTGGTTAATATGGCTTAGACAGACTTGCTCTCCCAGTCCCAGTCCCTGTATTTCTCCTAATCCATTTAACATCAACAAGAATTATAAGTTGCTTTCAAATGAAGAGACATTTTTGTTAAAGACACAAACAATCTGATTGCTGCTAGTACTATTTTACCATACTCTCTCCTTGAACATCTTTTATCAGTCTCTGCTTATTCATGCTTTCACTGAAAGACAAAGCTGAAATTTCCAGCAAAACTTGAGGCTATAACTATAAATTGACCTTCAAGACTAAGAGGTTCACAGTTTAGCTAACCTCCCAAATCTGATGTATATTACATAAGAGCCATCCAAATCTGGAACCTTCAACTCTCCTGCTTTCCCATTTTAAACAGAAGGTGCTGTTTATTTACGTATCAGTGAACAGTACTCAGCAATTTTTTTTAACCAGTGTAGTCCAAGAGAGTGAGAAAACAAATTGCCTTGTAAATTAACAGTCACATAGTGCAATAATATAGTTACAGCATGTAAAAAATTACTTTAGTTTTTCCAAGAACCCAGTTGTCAAGGTGAGCTTTTTCCAAGATGGCAGCACAGGTTTCTGGGCTGACTGGAGGATCATCATTTGTTTTGTAACAGATGAGGTAATACCTAAAGACAAATATAAAATTCTTTATTCCATTAACACGAAGCAATAGATACTAATACATTTAAATCATTCATTTAAATAATTAAAACAGTTGCATGAAAGAAAACAGCACTGAAAAGAACAAAACTCCCATACTAAAAAAACTCCCATACTAAAAAACTCCTTATATGCAGTACTAGGAAACTCAGTGAAAAGTGCATGAGTGACATAATGTGCACCCTGGAGGGTTGCTTAAGACTGGAAGGCTTTTAAAAAGCAGGCAACCCAAGTGGAATAGTTTGCCAGTTTGCTGCTCTGACTCTGCATGCTATGAAAGTGATTTCAGTGGCAAAAGAAAAATACTTCTGAAGATTTTCAGCTTAAACTAGCTTATTTCATACCTATCTTGTGCTAGACCCACCTACACTTTTGACTGTTATTATCACTGAGCTGCATCCCAGCTCTTGTTACCTCCTTGGATTCAGCTTTGTGGGTATTTTTGGAACATATGTGCAGTTATGACATAATATCTAAGCATTTAATTTAGCAAACTGATTTCTCAGAACTAACTTTGACTGGAAAAACAGCTCGGGATGCTCATACATAAAAATTACCCATAACATACCAGCTCAGCTAGCGGGTAGGGCAGTTCTTGTGTGTTCCAGGGCTTTCCACAGTGCTCCATTACAAAATTAGCCCTACTTATCTTGTTTTTTAAATCAGCAAAATTACGTGAATGCCATTATGTTTACTTCCTGACAGTGTATTCTGTTTTTTTTTCTTGTTATTCAGCCTATACACACAAAGCTGGGATGGTACAGACATTAAATGAGGACAACAACCTCCCCACAGGATAATAATAAGATAGACAATGCTGATTCCTCCATTATCCCCACCAAGTCCTGCAGCTACTTTTTTTTTTTTTAACTACACAATGTATTGGCTTATTTTCATTCTAACAAAACAGCTCTACCATTATTCCAGGCCTACCTAAAATTCTCAATTATTAAAAAAAAAAATAAATCATTTTTTGTGTGGCGGTCATATCCTCAGTGCTGCAGATCTGCACAGCCCCAGCGCAGTCAGGGGCACACTCTCTGGAGAGCTTCTCCATTATCTTCACTGACTTCCTCTCTTTTACCTGAATGTTAAAAATTTTGAGAGACAGCAGCAACCAAAAGCCACAACGCATCTTGGTACACTGATAACTACCTTTTCCCATGTTGCACTTTTCCGACATAGTAATAGCTCCATAAGCACTCTTTTCAGACACAATGCCATAAAACCATCACTTTGCTCTTCCTTTCCCTCTCTTGGCATCTGCAGCACTGTGCACTAGCTGTCTGTTTCCAGTGCACCACTACTTTTAAGAGCTTCCACCTGAATGGGTGTCACTTGCTCGCTTCTTCCCCATTTTGATGCCTGCTCCATAAATCTAAGTTCTGATCCAGGCAACTGTTTGTTTGTAAAAGAAAAGTACAGCTTAAGTGCTCAATATTAATTTTTGGAGGTGGAAGAAGAAGAGGTAGTTAAAGGGATTATAAAATCATAGCAAGTTCATTACTCTCCTTAACAAATGACTAACATTTAGAAATGGTATTTTAAACAGAACTATGCATTTAAAGAACTTCTCAGCCCTAAATTACCTATACCAAATTAACCCCTGCAGAACCAGATGCTGCACTGTACTGAACAGTGCTAGGGAACCTGTGGTGCTCCTCAGAGGCTCTTGCTTCAAACTCTTTCCTTTAATTTAAAGTGTTACCTTTCTAACCCTCAAATCTTTCAGACTCTAAGCAAGGCAATTTTTACCCAAATGCACAGGCAGCCTGAAACAGTCATCCTGAGATGCATCATCTTTCCCTATCAATCCAAAAGGGGACACTAATCTTGTGCCTGAACTATTCTGTCTTTCTCATTCAGTTCGTAATGTTTGTCACAGAAAATGTCTTTGCATTTTTTTTCTTTAAAGATCATACCAAAGACAATGCTGATGCTTTGCAAACACTGGGCAACAAGTAAAACAGAGAAAAAGATACTTCTTCACACCAATGTACCGTTTTATGAAGTTAGCGAAGAGTATACGGTGTGAATAACCCTGTCTTCGAATTCTTGCTGTCTCCAGAATTCCCGTGTATCGCAGCTGAACCAACACTTTTTCTTTATCAAACTTGTTTGCCTGCCGGTCGTTGTTTGGCTTGATGCACCTGACAAAATGAGGCTGGCCGACGACCATTTTGGATAACAAGTCCATCAGAGAATACTGAAAGAAAGTCACAAGATATCTGCCACCAGGATACTCATAAACCTGCATGTAGGTCCACACGTATCTGAAATTTTATTTTACATGATCATAACCATGTACCCATTTGCATTTCAGTAAGGCGGTACTTTAAAGGTGAATGAAGCAAATGGCTCAACAGCAATTATAGTTTTGATGTGATATCTAAGTAACTGGGTATATACTACTTGAGAGAAACACTAACCAAAAATCGACGTGAGCATCAAATTCCACCCAGTACATTCTCACAAGCTGTAATAATTTGTGGTACTGCCAATAATTGAACACCAGCTTTGTTTTTGGAAGCAACTGTATCTTTAATCACAGCTCTAAAAAACGATCTATTTTTTGAAAGTTCCCTTGATGACCAGTTGATACAAGAGCAGCTGCTGAGCTGGGTCTGCCACACCAGTTCACACCAAGCAGTACGTTTACCAGCTGGAAACGTGGCTCACTAGAGCACAAGTGAATTCTGAGTACAAGTGCAGAAGTAGGAAGGGCTAAATGAGGAATATTTTAAAAAATGTACCCCTCATTCTCCTGCTGTTGAAAATACACTTGCATGAATGCACATTTTACACCCAATGCTGAAGACAAGAAATGAATAAGTGTTTTGGGCAATCACATCAGGATTGGAGCGTGCATCAGTGACTGAACCATATTAATAACAGTGTTGTTGTTAAACGCTGTTAGAGCTGATGAAAGGACTGTGTCCCTGAAAGCTCTCCACCTTTCCCAGCTATATCAGCTGGCTTAATACGTGACAGAAATTCTCCTTACAATTTTTGCTTCTCTTCGAATCTTGTTAGGTAATTACAGTTCATCTTTTTTTTTTTTTTCTATTGTCACATATTTGAAGATTCCCATTCAGCCAGAGAGTAAATCATCAATCTAAGGATGGGAAGTTGAAGAGCAACAAGTCAGTAGATACCACCATTCCTTTGTTAGACTGGAGGAAACTAAAGCCAACCCAGAAAAGGGTCTGCTTAAACTGCTCTGCTCCAGTTTATCTTCTTCATTAGACAGGCTGATGGTGATACTATAGCTGCCCTGCCAGGAGGAAACCTTTGAGGAGGGCAAAACTAGACATGCATAAAATCACATTTCCAAAGTTGCACTTTTCCTACCTCACCAGGGTATCAGACTAGCAAAGAGGATGCATGCAATTTGTAGCTCCCCATGCCAACTGAGGTGAATCTGGCTGCAAGCAATCTTGACATGTGTTTTGTAAAATGGCTTTCTGGAAGGATCTTATTAAAATACAAATGAAGAGGCTCAGTCCTCAAGATTCAACCTGACTCAACAGAAAGACCCAGCCAGGAGGTAATGCAGTTCAGTAGTAGGTTAGATACATGAAACTAGCATAGGACGTCAAGAGCCATATGTTTCCTATTAAAATGTGCAATCCCATTACGGACAGATGCTGCATCGTGCAGCAAAGTGCTTAATTAGCTTCTTCACTAGTGTGGCAATGGAACACAAACAAGTAGGACAGGCTAATGGATCCATTTTTTAACCACCTGGTCTGGGGTGGCAGATACTCTTCTCAGGCACCCATAGGATTTCTCAGGATTTCTGCATATAAATAAACTGGGGGGGTTGAGGGTGAATCCTTCATTAAGAGCATTAGCTAGCATGATCTGGACAGGGTTTCCACTACATAAAATACTAATTAAAAAGTGCAAATATAATTAATCCCACTTGCAGCACCTGGTGATAGATTTTTTGGTTAATATGCTGAAGCACAGACATTAACTCTGAACTAGATTCAGTGCATTTTTCCATCTAGAGTGTTAATAAAACACCATCCAACTTTGGACCACCATGCTGCCTGGGCTAGCATTATCCCTACAGTCAATAAAAGTGTGTAATTATATCTACTAAACAGAGATCCTGCTCCTTATTATTCTCTGTCATAAATGCAAACAAAGTCTTAGGGGTCATGAACAATACCTGAGCCACCTTTATGCTTTTGCTGGAAGATATGAGTCAATGGGAGTTGGAAATTCAGAACTGACCTGCACTGAGCCAACTCTGCGCCCCGCTGCAGAGAAAAGAATGCTCTTCACAGCCATTATCTATGGCAGAAAGAAGCAGCACAGCAGTGCTAGGGAAAGTGAAGAGGACTGCTGAAAAAGAGCCACAGGGATTGACTCAGAACAGCCTCTAGACTGGTGACCATCAAGAATCTTCCTTTGGAGCTTCTGCTCCAAATCAACTTTGGCCTCTTGCTTTCAAAACTCTTAAAGAAATGCCATACCACTAATGTCCAACCTCTCTTTATCTCTCTTTGGGAAAAGCAGGTAAGTGACAGTGAAGTTGAATTTTGATCATCCTGCACCACCATGACAGAAATGTGGCTGTTTGTTTAACTGAGTCCGGTTAAAGGTGGAGCATAACAGTCTGCTCTAGACCTTTGTATCGCATGGACAGCTGCATCATATATGCAGTTTACAAACTCTAAACGGATCTCTGTGGAACCTAAGTGCCTGGACAGAAGGACAGGTGGGTTTCAAAAGGTGAAGGAATAAATATTCATTCCACTCTAGAAAAATTTATGAAAAGACTTGGTATCTTACTCTAAAATAAGAAGCGACTGTCTGTGTTTTCATACTGGTTGTCTCTCTCGGATGATGTCCAGTATCTCCAGTTTCATTCTATACAGATCAAGAAAGAAAATGACACCTCTTATTTCTACTGAGCCTGTAGTGCCCTTTCCAACACCACAACAAAGTGCCTCTTGGAGAGCATCATTAATAAAAAAAGTACTCTAAACTGCAAAAGTTACTGCATGATCACTAGCACAAAGTCATTACATCAGTACGTTACATTACTTTGCTACACAATATGCAAACATCCACACACAGAGGACACAATTTGATAACTGAACATCTAAGTAACTGCCACAAATAACCTGACATGGTCTGGGGCAATGTCTGAGGTGCTGTCTGTAATTTCAGCATCACTGTTATTTTGGTAGTTCTCTACGGAACATGACTATACTCCACACCAATATTTCAATCTCTTTTTTTGCTACCACAATACAGTTAGGAAGTAATCTTTTTTTTTTTTTTTCTGACGTTGTTATAAAACTACAGCCAGAAAGAAGGGAAATGTTAGGTTTTTACCTCACGGAAGGAATATGAATTGCACAACACAAAGATATCCAGCTAAACAGAAAAGAAAATAGGAGAGGGAGAAAAACCAAGGAAGGGGTTACTTGCTTACTTTTAGTAGCAACAACAGTATTGCCTTTCTAGTTTAAATTATAGGGTTCAATGCAGAACCATGACATCAGTTTTCTTACCTTAGTACGACTGATTGATTTCTGAGGGGTCCACATTTGGTAACTGATTGTAGTTTTGCTTTTAGTGTGGGCCAGGTTACCTATGGGAAGATGGAAGAAAGCAACCTACCAACATGCTTAGATCTCATTTATGCTATATAGAACCACATTATTCAAGACCCCAATGCAACCATTTGACTATAAAGATTGCTGGCTTTTCCTGAGAATGTCCTTATTTCCCCTTTCACCCTTGGGATGGAATGAGCTCTGAAGAACTTGCATGAAGATGAAACATAGGCTGTATTTTTCCTCCTTCAGCACTTATGTCACCTACTAAAGCAAAAAAATAATTAAGTACACTGCTGCAAAAAATAAGAAAGATGTATCTTAGAGCACCCACACTCTTTTACTCTCAGGATGGCATTGTACTAGCCTAGTTAGCGATTATGGCTTAAAATGGGGACAAATGAAGTTTGTTTCCACTTTAAGGCCCTTTTTCACTAACTCAATTAGCATACATGGAAATCAATCTCTATGGCTACACACATAATAGCTAATACAAGGAGCTAGCACCCTTCTCTAGCCCTGAGGGCAAGTGGCATAGCATGACTCAAGTCTGTATAGCTGAACTCTGCACTCCCCTCCTCTTCTAATCTCCCAATAAAAACAGGGTTGTCTCTACTTCCACAGAGCTTGCTGGAAACCATCCCTGGCCCATGCTTTCTCCTGAACTGTGCCTACGCATTTCTGAGAGAATTCTAGCTGACATGGACCAAAATTGTCCCAGGGAGGCATGACAACAATTAATCATAATGGGCAATCATATGGTAGGGTTTCAGCTACAGTTTATTGGCTCTACTTTGTTTACTAGCATAGACTTAGTCTTACGACTCCAGCACTGGGACTCTTTAGTCAAGCAATATCCTTATTATAATGACTTGAAGGACTAGCCGCATTGGAGTGGTTTATACAGACACTGGTTTTCTGAAGGAATAATGATAACACTTCTGAGCTTTACACAATGTCATTTTATGTTGACAGAACCCCAACCATTGCTGAACACTGCCATTCCTTCTGCTACTAACACAACACCTCTGTACATTGTGAGACCCTATAATCTCTCCGCGCTTAGCTATTATCCATTAGAGGTGGACAAGACTTGGATGAACAGTTGCAAGTTTAATTCATTCCCAGCTACAGTGATGATATCAAGTGCTGAAACCCCTCTGGGCTTAGCTGAGCATCATGAGGTGGGAAGGAAAGGAAGAGGATTACTCATACCTAACTTTACCTATCTGAAAGTGAGGTGTGTACAGGATCCCACCATATTCAGTGGAGACAGGCACCTTCAGAGGAGTTTATCCCATCCTGAGAGAAACACCTGAGATGGGCAAGATGGGTTGTACTCTGGATATGCTTATACCTTTCCACTGATAGATGAATTACTTATACCAGAGGCCTAACTTTCAGTTGGCTACACTGGATGGTTTGTGAAAGTCCATACACAGCATTTGATGCTTAATAAGAAGACTAAAATAACTTTCAGAGTTACATTGTAAACCTTTACATAAGACTTGGGACCAGTTCTTGGGACCATGTGGGTCCTGAACTTGGGTCCACAGAAGTTATTGCTTAGTATCTTAGCGCACATCAATAAGTCAAAAGGTTCAGGGAAGTATGTTGTGCTCAGTGTTCTCCTAAGGGTATTGACTTAAAGTAGACCTTCAAGACGAAATCTTGCATCCCACCAGCTAAGCTCCCTTTGTGAAGAGTAGGAGCTTTGCCAAAACCTCAGTTACTGTAAGGTATGATGACATTTTAGATAAATTTCATTAGGCTCCTTCAATTTAACCTTCCTGTTCTACTGCAAGTACATCTCCCTTGTAATCATACAAGAAAGTAAAGTTATGAAGTACTTGTTTTACAGTAACAGTGCCCATCACTGGGAGCAATGCAACACAATAACAAATAAGCCCTGCCTGGTTGTAATATATATAATATAATAACAGCAGTTACTGGGGCACTACTTAGCTTGATGGTAGATTTAAAGATGTATGCCACCTAGATTTTCTCATTGTAAGCACACTTACCCATCAACCTAAAAAAGCAGGTGGGACACTATGCAAGGAACCTGGTTTGACAAAGGTGCAACTGTACTTAATAGTAATTTCAGTAGAGCCAGTTACATTCTTTCTCCCTCCTTAAGAAATCCCTGAGGAAGAGAAGAATCTAAGTCCTCCAATCCAAACTTGGCCCCAGCTCACTACTAGGACCCCATTAGTTTCCTGCTGTAAAGGACTGAGAGACTAGGGAAATAGACGAGTGCCTCCTTGCTCTATGCATTAGATGTCAGGAGCCCCAGCCTTGATTATCTGCTACTTTAGAGAGAAATTGCACTGAGACAAAACAGGCAATTTGCATATGTCCTATCCAAAATGGCCATTGGCTTACCTGAGCCTTTCTGTTCAGTCCTCAAGTGATGCACTCCACTGCCTGTCCCACTCCCCTAACCTGAAGAGGGGACCCTGAAAGGAGCCCCACTTCCTTTGGGGCTCCCCAAGGAGCTTCCTTTGGAGCCCCACTTCCTTCTACCACTTCCTCTGCACTTGACCAGACCAATCCCTCCCCTGCAGCTCGAGATGGCAGGGGCTCCATTCCGTACAGATTCTAGGGTTGGAAAGTTAAGCCACAAAGTATATAATATCATCAATAAATGGTTATATGAAACCCAGCAGTGGTCAGCACAAAGATTGGAGAACGAGAATAGAAAGACTACTACAATAGCAATACCTGTTTTTGTAAGAGGATGGGTTACCAACTGTCGTATCAGATTGTTTTCAGATGATCGGAGTAGCAGCACAATATCAGCTGGCAGGGTATCTCTATTTTTGGCTAAGAATCCACTCGCATTATACAGAACCTGTTTAAAAAGTGCATTTACGCATCTTCTGGGCTATTGAAATTTAAGTGTAGATTTAAGCACCCTGGCATATGGCTCGTAATATATCAAGAGACACAAACAGAAGAACCATTATGATGCATATCACTAGAAGCAAATCTATTACCCCAGACTACCTTGAAACATTAGGGAAAAATTAATGCATGTGTTAATAATAGCTTTAGCCAGTGTGTATTCATCACTAGAAAAAGGGGGCTATAGTACTGCATTACACCAATAGTATAGTACATTATACCAATACAGCTGTTAATGCACAGTTAGCAATGTACTTGCTTTCAGCCAAATCACACAGGATTACTGATGCGATTGTGCAGTCTTTCTGTCCCATTCGGACTGTGCTGTACTAGATACAGGACTTAATGTCTCTTCCCAGAGATGTCTGTATTAATTACAGCAGGAGTTTTCAAATTGAAATCTCTCTAAAAATTGCTTGGAATGGTGTACCTAACTCAAAATGTACCTCTAGAGCTCTATCTCAATGATGCTTTAAGGGACCCACCACATGGAAAACTGTATCAGTTTTTGGACGTTGCTTTTCAAGAAAGATTTCTATTAGTTCTAGAGAGTCTGGGCAGAGAGGGAAAGGGCCTGAGAGTGATCCATGGCCAAGAAAGCCTAACCTGTGAAGAAGGGTAGACGATACTGGCATATTTAATTTAGGAAAAAAAAAAAACCAAAACCCAAACAGTAACAGTCTTAAATTACAAAAAGGATTATAAAGGGAGAGGAAATAAATTGTTCTCCAGGTCCACAGTAAACAGGACTAGAAGTAATGAACTTAAATCACAGCAATGGAGATTTAACTTGGACAGCAGGAGAAACTTCCTGATGATAAAGCTTTTTGAACACTGCAAAGGTCTGACTGGGTGCTGGTAAAATCCCCCTCTTCCATCAAGAAGGGTACAGGTAGAGCTGCATGCCTGCTCCTCAGCAGTGAGATATGCCAAACTTATGAAATGTAATCAGTTGGAGATAAGGAGTTAGCACAGGCCTTCTGTAGCTGACTGTCTTGTATAAGGGCAAGTTATCATCCATTAGCAATGGGTGGTATCTTGCCTCTTTCCAGGCCAGCTGCTGCAGCACTGCACGGGCACAACTTAGTTTCCTGTGTGAGACAGCAATACCCACTCCATACTTCTTAAAAGAGCTTAAAAGGAGCTGGGAGCTCCTGCTTCCACAAGGCAAGGTACAGCTGATCAGCAGTATCTTGCCTTAGTGTATCCGCAACTCCGAGCTTCTCCTGAGTTGGTGCAAGCAAAACACCTTCTACAGGACGGCAAGACTGCCGATTAAATGAAGCAGAAAGCAGGGCATGCACTATCTGGCTGATGACAAGGGAAGGCGTTGAGAACTAAGGCAGATGGGGCAGACGAGGTAAGGTTTGTGGTAAAAGGGAGGAAGAATGGATCCTGGTTTGGAGCAGTGGCTATATGGCATAAGGCTTCGAGGACCTAGGTGGAGGGGCACCGAGACGCATTCTATAATCATTATTTTTTGGTTCTGCTGAAATATAGTCAGTTTATTTACTTGGTGACATTTAAGAAAAACATGTTCCATTACTTTTTTTGTGCGAGGGAAAATAACTTTTCAATTTACTTTTGAGATGTGGGGCACTATCAGTTTTTCCATGTCATGTTTGAATAGATGAACCTTGGGAACCAACCCTGAAGTAACTGACCTCTGACATTCCCTTCCTGCCCTATGATTCCACAATCCCCAATTAATATCGTTAGGTCTCTTACCTTTCCTGCATAGTGATAAATCCCGAAGGTTAGATCTACTCTTTTGGGTCTCCAAAAATATTTTGACTTCAAATTATCTTCAAATTTTTCTGAAAGGAAACACATAGTTTGTCTTACTGGCATCACTGTACATTAACTGTGCTCAGAAGTGGAATCCCTCTAAGGATATTGCCTGGTTTCTCAGACAAAAGCAGCAGCACAAAACAGATTCTGACGTTTTTAAGAAAAAAGGTACCATGATGGTCTTGTAATAAAAGGCAGTGAATGGAGAACATGGGGGCTCTTGGATCAGTCACTTTGTACCAATGTTTTTGTGTGTCACCTCAGAAAATCATTTGCCTCTCTAAGCTTTTGGTCTTTGCATATAAAACATGGCAGTAATCTTTCCTACCACACTTGGGAATTGTGAGAAAACATTTACTAATTGGTTGAGGTGATCAGTTCTAGAATCTATATAATATGAGGGTAGGCAGACAACAAACTCACGGAACTGTTGCAGCATTGAGACATAAAAAAACTTTTTTTACTGGGTGTTTTACTGGCTTTGTGACTGGGTATTGGTTAAAATCCTCCTCTGACACTTTGCATATTCCAAAATAAGGAAAACAAGGAACAGAAATCCCACTAAAACAATTAAAACAACTGTAACTGAGAATACTTCAGCAGCATTGAAATATTCAGGATCTGAACTGTAGCTTATTTAGGTGTTTTAATTTTAATTCTTGTGTAGAAAAAACACGGCAACATGATTTGCTGAAAGGCGCTGAGGATCAGGTTCATAGCCATTATCCCTACTGAGTCCCCAAACTCTTGCTTAGACACAGTCCAATAAAAATCTCAGAGCTGAACCCGACTCAGCTTTGAAAACAATGTTCCCGGCATAGGCACCTAGAGCTTTAATTCAGTTTGATCCCTGTTTTTCAAGCCCTGCAGCTAAAAATTCCTGAGGGTAAGAGAGTTCAAAACCTGCATCAGCAACTTAGGTTCATTTGTGCTCTTGTATGTACATGTTTCTTGTATCAACTTCAAGAACGCATCCAGCCTTGCGTCCATGCCTCCCTGAAACTGGAATATGGGCTCATTAAAAACAAAACTAGCATATACCCTAAAGTGAATTCACTAAACAGAAATCTAACAGGGAGACGTTCTGTGACATTATGAAATAAACCATATACTCACCTACAAGTGTCTGATCTGTTGCTTGCGGGAATCGACTTTCCTCATCCAGCAGGGACAATAAACCCATTGGTTTTTGCAGGAACATATCTAAGAGGGGCCTGTTATCCTCATATTCTATAACTCTTGCATCAACACCTTCGTATAGATATTCATTCTGTAACAAGCGAAAAAAGGCACATTTTGTCCAGGTACACAGAACTACTTCAGAATATAATTCACAAACTGTCAATTGCAGAAAATTAAAACTACATTAAAAAACTATCCCAAGGGGCTAAAAACATCACAGTTTTGCAGAAACAAATGTCAGTGGGATGTGAACTACACACTTTAATTTGCCTTTGGATATGTAAGCTCTTCTTGTAGCATATTTGGTAAAGAAGCTTTGAATGAATATGCAAGAAGTAACAAAAAATAAACAGAGCTAAAGAACGTAAAGTATAGTGTTTGCAGATGGAGACCTCAATAGCTATTTACTTTTCTGGTCTGCAGTGTAAAAAAAATTTATTAATCACTTGGAGCTACGTTTACATTCCCAATTCATTACTCAGATCTACTTGATGTACAGCCGCCAAAGTTTGCAAGATCATACAAAGGCCTCAACTGTTTGATCCTCATCCTCAAGCACTGAAAAAGCTCTTATGTTGAAAAGAATGGTGCACACATTTTCTAAACATTAAGGCATTAGAAATTGTCTCAGGTTGGCCACTACAGCATTTTCATTCTGTTTAGAAAATAGTGAAAGGTATTCAGCATGATTAAAAAACAATAGAGGACCTTTTTATTTTTTTTTTGGCAGTGGAGTTGCTGAAGACTTCAAATACCTTTGGCTTCATGTGAGGCTGAGAAAAACCTAACAACAAAAACTGTGTCCACCGTGTGTTGCAATGGTTTCAGTTTGAAAATCATTACAAATTATACTTGAAGAACATGAAAATGACTTTCTTTAATCCTTTGGGGAGACAGAGGCAGGCATAGATTTACCAAGAGAAGGAGAGTATAAGGGCTGTAGCCCCTCCACTATTTTTGCCTGGATTAGGTAAGGCAATAGCAGTTATTCATTGCACAGTGCTCCCACACATGCCACGGTTGCCTCTAGTCCTGTGCACGCTGCTTCTTATAATATGAAACACATAATTAAGCCTTTTGATTTACTTTAAAAATCATCCCTCTTCCAAAGGATAAACTCTTTTATCTTTTGTCTATTTATAAAAGTACTGTATTAATATATGATGTAACATCACACTTGTGTTGCCCTTAATTCATTGTAAATAGAGTGTCATAAGCATGACTGATGGCTAATATTAATGAGTTCAAAGACCTCTAACCCAGAAAGACCTCTCCTTATGTGTCATTCACTTGAATCTGAATGAAAGTCAAGGGTGAGTGAAGAAAGCAACACACTGTGTATTTGGCAAAGCACTTAACTGCCATATACAACAGAAAAGCACATGTTCTTAGATCTCTTTCCTCTTCATTTCTAAGCCAGAGAGAAGCATTAAAAAAAATCAATAACACTGTCCTGGAAAAAGAGGGTGAAATAAATAAATCTGCTAATCCATTTGAACGAGAACACAAAATATGTGCCTAGACCTTTCTACTATTCAGACTTAACTAATTTCTCAAGCCACTCTTAACTCTAAGGATAGACTATGACTCAGTCTATGTGCCCATACAGGGAGTAAGCATTAAGAATCTCTCTTACAGCCCCATACAGGCTCCCCATCTTGAGCACACAAAACGTCCACCTCTGTCTCCCTTGGAGCAGTGGATAGGTGGAGTTTTGCTTTTCACTTTAATCGATGACCTGAGTAGCAGGGCAAGACAGGAGAGTAATAAATGCATCACTGATAGAGGCAAGAAGTTCATTATATACCTGTAGGAGCTAGTGGCAGGAAGCAAATCAGTCTATGTTATCTCCCAAAGATAACATCGGAGTAGGGGCAGTTCTACTGAAGGCTGTGGCGCTACTGACACACAGATGTTTCATTCATGAAAGCAGCTGTTACTGCTTAAGATTATCAAGATCTTAAGATTACACTTAGGAGAGGGAAAAGGAAACTCTGGTTGAATCTATCAGAAAACAGTGAGTGTTTCTGTGACACTGACACATGAGCAAACAAGCTCTCACAGACAACACATCTAATGATTAACTTCCAACTTCAAATGCTTGTGAGAGAGGCTGATTAGGCATGCTGAAACAAGTCTTCCTTGAGACTGAGAGGAGCTCTCTAGTACCTGCACTACACCATAACAACAACATCTGCTCCCCTTCCCTGCACTGTCAATGTGCAGGGCCTAAGCTTCAAGCCTTGAAGTTCGGTGACCACTCAGCCTTTTGTGTCTGTATCATGACCGCTAAATGGCGTGTCAGTGCTGACAGTCCCTACAATGCTAACATCTTCCTGGCAGGATAGGAAACGGGTTCACTTCCTCACTGGCTACGGGCCCTGGAGGGTGGCTGATAACCAAGCTTTCCAGGCACCACTGTGACAGATGACTCAGAAATAAGAGATACCATGTTACGTTTTCTCATGCAATGCTGGTCTTCAGTCATCATATTATGACACAAGAAGCAAGGAGAAAAGCTTTCATGATCCACATCGTGAAACTGTAATGAAATATATCTTATTTGAATTAATAAGCCGAATCAGCTACGGGACGCTGTAATCCCCAATGATGTTTTATGACAAGAAAGCTCATTAAAATACCAGTGGCTCATTGCAATTCTAAAACATAATCCACTAGACAGTGTTCCTACAGAGGGACGTCAAAAGGAACGACTGAGTTATACTGATATTTGGGCTCCTATCTCATTTCAGTATCACATGGTGCCTATTCAGTGATTGAAACTAGTATTAGCTTATGCAAACCGTTTTCATTTACTAACAGAAAATTATTAAATACATTAGGAAATTGTCTTCATGCCTACTAAAAAAACTAATGGCATTTTGCTGAGAATGTAGTAAGATACCTCTTTGGTGTAAATGGGAACTCTGGGGACCTACCTAGAATGAACCTTTTTCAGCTTGAAGTAGCTTAAATTTTCAGCTTAACTTGCTAGAGATGAATATAAAATGAACATTGCAAGTATTTAATCCAAAAAGTAGCATCCGTCTGATGTTAACCATAAAATTACCAATTTCCAATATATTTTTGATATTTGACATCACCCCTTTCACTCGTTACAACAGAATTGCAAATGAGAATAAACTGGGAATGTTGCCTATGTGGACACTGTTACTTGCAGATTATGGAGTTGGTAGAGAATTAACTTAAATCACTCACTTACATATAAGTGAAATACTTTCTTCAGGGACAGGACTGAATGCTGCAAAAATTGTGCTTTGCTTGGTACTAACCTAATAAAAGCTTGTCCCAGCACTCAATCCACTTAACTACAGACACATAAAAGAAGTGATTAAGTTAAGAGCCAACTTTTCTTCCCCAGTCCGTGACGACAGAGATGTGTCCATTTGTCTCCACTGACTATAAGGAATCTAAACTAGTTTAAGAGTATATTCACTACTCTGGCCCTTCTGCCTGCTCTAACAGACACCGTGAGCCTCAAGCAGCTATGCAGAGTGTCCCCTTGAGGCACACTCAACTTCTGTGTACGACAAAGCGTCCTATGAAAGCTGGGGAATAACATGGCAACTGTTGTACCACTGAGTCAGGCTGAGATCCAAAAGAGTATTTTAGCTCAACTTCTGTTTATGAAATCAAAGTTAGGAGCCAAACTGGCAGTTGGAGCTTATGTGCTTTGCTAAATTTGGACTCCAAATATTAAAAAAACTCATCCAAGGAATGGTGCTGCTGAATGAATTGTGCTGTCTCCTCCTAGTTCTTTAAAACCTGCATGGTGTGGGGAAATCCATTATAACATATAAATGTTTTCTTTGATTCAAGAAAATTATATGATGTCATTCTCACAAGGTTTTGATAAATAGATCTCCACACATCTAGATTAAAAATAATTATCAATTTCAAAATAAAATGACCAAATTAAGTATTGTATCTCATTTTAATCTACATATGCACCCAAAGGATGAATTTAATTCCAGATTCTTATATCTCATTACAGAACAGGAACAGTCTTTCCAGTTGTCACTAGAAAATTAGCCTTGTGCTGAGGCAGATCATGTGAATGCTGTCAGCTTGAACACCTCCCCAAAGGCATGGGCGAATGCCTATGGGTAGGTTATCTCCCTAACCTCAACATGTAAAATACTGTGTAGATGATGTTATGCATTCTGGATTGACCAGTGCTAAAAAGCAGCACGTTCAGGAACAATATCACACCTTAGGTTTAGGGATACTGTGATACCATTTACACAAACACTGACTTTTAATATCATTTAGAAGAAAAATAAATATTTACACTGTATTTTCAGTAACAAGCAATTTCAAAGTGCACTTCTGGGTATTCCCTGTAACCACAAAACACCATCTATTGTCCTGTATTCATTCTGGACATATAGCTCTGGGCTATATATTATTTTGGACTGAGGAAGTGTATGCTTGAAAGGGAAAGTAATTATATTCCTCATGAAACCTTACTACAATAACCAGAAGGTTCCCTTTGTGAACCTATTTTTCTGTCTGTTCACCACATCTTTGGCATATATTTTATATATCACTAACTTTGAAAAGAAGATTAAAACCCAGCACAACCACATTAGGAGTACAACAGACACTGAATGCTATGAAAAACATTCATATAAAGGATTTTTGAATGCTGAACAATTCTTGTAAATTCCATTCCCAGTAGACAATTTTCAGCATCGCTTGGTAGGAAGCTAAAGGAGAAAGAGAAAGAAAGCACTTCTCACTGGCTATCTTATAATCAAAGGTCTATAGCCACCTACAGGAAAAACAAATTCTTTCTTAGGGAAACTAGACGTTGTTTTTCTTTATATATTACCTACTGTTCTCTAATTTACTGCATCAATGCAACAAAGACTAATATCCAGATGATAACATGAGCAGCAATGGCACTTTTTCTTAGATCAGTGGATCTAAAAGTAGGTTATAAAGTTTGTTCAGAATTAGAATCCCCATGTTACAGATTAGGTTCAGAGGCTCAGATGTGAATGAATCAACCAAGGTAGGAGCTGTCCTCAGTTCCTGCCCAGCATTTTTGCACAGTGGCTTGTA